CCCTAAACCCTAAACTCTTAAGGGTCGTCAATCCTGTATCGTGGTATGTAGGGCTTCCCTTCTCGACCCCAAACGATGGACCTTAAGCCGAGGACGTGGTGGCGGGGCTTCTCTCCACAAGCCCTGAACCCTAAACCTTAAACCTGAAAAACCCCAAATCCCTAACTCTGAACCCTAAACCCTAAACCCTAAACCTGAAAAGCATCATTTCCCGAACTCTGAACCCTAAACCCTAAAGCCCAAACTCGAAACACTAAACCAAGGTTATGGTGGTGGGGCTTCTTTCCCCTTGGTCGAAGAGCCCTGCGAAGCAACGGAGGAGACCGTTGGCTGACGTGTTGTGGTTCAATGGTTTGAGGTTTTCGGGCTTGTGGCTTGGAGTTTTAGTTTTTTGGTGTTTTTGGGATCAGGATATATTTTAGCTTCGTGTTCAGGAACTGAGGTCACATTGATCTATCGAGGGGAGGCGGTTAGGGTGTTTAGGAGGTTGCGTGTACGGCTAAGGGCTTATCATCCCGGGATACAGAGGGGCGAAGCTCGGTTCAAGCTTGGAGCTTGGAGCTCAGCATGTGCGGCGTGAAGTATAAATCTATGGCGCTAAACCCTAGACGGTAAAGCCTACATAAAGCATACACCGCTACCGTAGCGTTTGAGGATCCCGATGCAAACCTCAAAAGCACGCTGGGCCCTACGCCTTGAACTCTTGGCCCAGGACCTCCAAATCAAGGCCCTAAGCCCAAAGTCTTGAAAAAGGAAGCCCGAACGTCGTTCCGAGCTGAGTACCCTAAACCCTAAACCCTAAACCCTAGGTTGAGCTTTTGAGGTCGCGTCCTGATATGGCATGGGTAGACCCCTGAAGCCCTCAGCTCCAGATACTATATCCCAAAACCCTAAACCCAAACCCTTAATCCTTAAAAAAACCCTTGAAGGCACCCTCAAAAGAACCCTTGCCCGACCCCGAAAGGATCTGGAACTACTGATTCGGTGATGTTTGTTTTTTAGGGTGTAGGGTTTTAGGGATTAGGGTTGAGGATCTAGAGCGTAGAACCCCTCACTTGGGACCGTGGGGTGCTACAGGGTACGTTGTTGCAAACCCCTTACTGCATCTATTATAGGGGCCCTAATATTCACCTATAACATTTTGAAGGTTCCTTGTTATAATTATAGTATAATATACCCCAAAACCCTATTCTCATTATTAAGGCCCCTATATTTTCGTGTTTGATGTTTCCGGGGTCTGCAGTGGGCTTTTGCGGGTTTCGGAGCAGTTTCCGGGGGTCGCCAAGGGTGATCAGGTATTCGGTATCTGCGATTTTGAGATCTGGGCGTGTTACTGTCGATGATATAAGTTCTGCATTACCCTAAAGACTCTAAACTATGGGAATTATGGTATACTCCTTCTTATGGCTAATGCAGGATTCATATCATCAACCGTATGACGTGAAACCCTAAACCCCAAGCCCTAAACGGGGTCTGAGTTCGTTTGTAGTGCTTTCCGGGGTCTCAGGGTTTCGAGCTTGCAGCGTTTGTTCTTCGTTTGCGCTCGGTCTTTGGTTTGGCCTTGTGGGTTAGGGTTTAAGGAGTGTAGGTATACATGACATATAAGAGCCTGGGAGTTCGGCTTCAGTGGTTTCGCGTAATTAAGCAGGCTGACCCCTCCATACCCGCCCAAGCGCTTCGGTCACTTTGAAGTCAGGCCTCAAGCCGGTATCCCGGGTATCGTTTCAGGTTTTGGGTCAGTGGCCAAATGTGGAACACCCCGCAACCTTCAACCCAAAACCCTACCAACAAACAGTACCAAGATCCTGCAGCTGTTCGTGCAAACGAACGGACATTTCCCTCTTCCACCAGCTCTAAACCGTAAGTCAGCTCTGAAGCCCAGCCCCCATAGGTCTTAGAAGCTGAACCCAGAATCTTGGTGCCATTGGCGCCGCGGCCACCCAGGCAACAATACTCTCGTGTCTTTCCGGAAGCTTGTATGCGATCTTCCCAACATGGTGGGTGGTGGCCAAGGAAGGGCAACTGTAAACCAAGCCATAAACCCTCAACCCCTAAACCCTAAACCCTAAACCTTAAACCCAAAGCCCTCCAAACTGCACCGCTTTGACAAAGAGGAGACTATAAAGCTGCTCAGCGCCTTCGGCTGCGGGTCAGTTTGATCGTTTGGAGTGTCTGGATTTTAAGGTTCAAGGTTTTCGGGTTCTGGGTTTAGGGTTTAGGGTTTAAGGTTTTCGGGTTTAGGGTTTAGCGTTCAGGGTTTATGGTCTGGGGTGTTCTCGGACCACCGACAGCACAGTCAGCAGTAGCATCAACACTTGCAGTCGCTGTAGCCGTAGGAGAACGAGCAGGAGTTTGACTAGCACCACTAGTACTCTGTATTCTAGTCCTCGTCGAAGTTGCAGAAGGAAGAGTGAGTACCAGTGGTAGTCGTGGTGGCAGTTGTGCTGGTTGTGGTTTAGGGCTTGGGGGTTCGATATGTCATGGTTTATGCCAGTGCCGTTACACTCTCAACATTCTCCCTAAACCCCAAACCGTTGCTGGAGAGTACACGAGCTCTACGCAAGAAATGGGAGCTAGAAGTTAGAACATGAGATATGAGACCGCAGCTCGAGGTAGCATCCGCAGTACAAGTATCCTTACCTTGTCTGAGGTGCTTTCTAGAGATCAACCCCTCGAAACAACTTATAGGACTCCTCATAAGACCCAAAATATTCTCAAACCCAAAACCCCTTCAAACCCGATAGACAGCCCAATCCTATAGAACAATGCACGAACCCGGGCGGCCCCTATAACAAGAAGATGCAGACGCTCATTGAGGTGCTGTAAACCAAGCTGTGGCCGAACAGGATGTCTTTCAGTCAGTGCCCCAGCTGCGACATTTTGGCGGTGGCTTTACGGAGCTGAAAAATCTGCGACCACAGAAATTCGTTTCGCGGATTAGGACCTTAGGCGGTAGGATTTAGGGCTCGCGGGCGTTCTAGGTAGAAGACTCTCACCCTACGCCTCCCGTTTTCCTGCAAAAGTCCGTTTACGGTTGTCTGCTTCAGGTTTCAGGTTGCAGCATGGTCGCCAGGGTCGCCAGGGTCGCCTTGAGCTTAACCTTAAACCCTTGGTCCTGCATAGAAGTACGCCTCGACGAACCGCTTGTCCCTATGGTTGATGGACAAAATCCTGCATGACCTTATATACCTAAACTTTGGGATTTATGGTACTATACTATATTTGGGACATGCAGAATTTTGTCCATCAACAGTATCTCCTTCTCTCTGGCTAGGAAAATTGTGTATCCATCTGTCACAGCCACCCGGTCTTTTCCATGACTACATGTCGGAAAGCGAAGGCATACCTAGAGCCCCAAAGTGCACCCCAACGACCTCGTCCGCCAAAGCTCTTGTCAACAACCTTACCTTTAAAACCTAAACCTTAAACATCTGAAGCCCTAAACCCTAAGCATTTAAAACCCTAAACCCTAAAGCCTAAGCATTCAAAACCCTAAACCCTGAGCATTTAAAACCCTAAACCCCAAGCATGCTCAAGGCTCCGCCGCGCTGCGGCCGCCGTGCCGGCACCATGGAGGCCAAGTGTGCTCCTTCAACCAAGGGCCGAAAAAGCGAATTCTTAGGTTTAGGGTTTAGGGTTTAGGGTTTAAGGGTTTAGGGTTTAGGGTTTAGGGTTTAGGGTCTAACATCGGGGTCTAAATAATCACCAATACTATTTTTTGGGGGGTCCTTGTTATAAGCATAGTACAATGGGCCCCAAGACCCTATTCTAATTATTAAGGCCCCTGTTGTAGGGCTCTAGGGGTTCAGGGGTTTAGGGGTCTAGGGGCTTCGGGCTTAGGGGGGACTTAGGGTCTCGGGGTCTAGGGCGTCTAGGGGTTTTGGGTTTACGGGGCTTAGGGGTTTAGGGTTTAGGGTTAGGGCTTGGGTGTCACGGGTTGAGTTGAGGGTTCAGAGCTTGTGGGGCCGTGTAGCCAGCAGGCTAAACCCCGAAACTAATGCTCATAAAGCTGCGCAGACATTTACACGAAGAGAAACTTCTTTCCAATTTGCAGAACGTTTTGTAAATCCTAAATACAGCCACTTCTAAGATCAATCCCAAATTCCAGAGTTTGTGAGGCTGCGGAACTGGTCGCTTGAGGGCGGCTGCCGGCGTGGGGGCGCACCTGCTTGTTGCGAGGCTTCGGTTGGCGGGCCCTATGTTGCATAGCCCTAAACCCTAAAACCCGACTGTAGGGGGAGTCGCACCGGTTTCCTTGTCTTGATGGTTTTTGAGAAAGGGTTTTCCAACTTTCTAGGGGTTCAGAGAGTCTTACAGGGTGTGTTTGGGGTTCGTGCTTCCGATTCGTCTCTGATTCGAGGGTCTGGAATTTCAAGCCAAACATAAACCTACACCCTGCGGTGTCGGGGAATAAAGTAGAAGAAGGAAATCTGGGAGCCCGAGAAACGCAAAACTCTGAATTGTAATGTAGGGGCCTTAATAATTACCTATACTATTTTGCGGGCTCCTGATTATAATTAAAGTATAATGCCCTAAAAAGCTTGAACCCTAAACCATAAAACTCTGAACTATAAAGCCCAAGCCCCAGAGCCCTAAACCCTAAACAAAACCCTAAAACCCTGAACCCTAAACGTTTGAACCTTAAAGCCCTAAACCCCGAGCCCGATTCGGCAAAGCCAGACTCCAGACTGAACTCCGAGAGCAACGAAATCTTTCTATGCAAAGCACCCAGAGATTCCACGGTTTAGGGTTTAGGGTTTAGGGTTTTTGGGTTTAGGGTTTAGGGTTTAGGGTTTAGGGCATTTCATATGAGGGATCCTACGATACTTTAAGGTATATTCCTGTTCTACGAGGGCTACGACAAGGGTCGGCATAATAAGGCTTTTGTAAGGTTTCCAAATTGCTCTTTCGGGGCCTAGGGTTTGTTATAGGGTTTACCTACAAAGAGCATTCGTGAGTGCATCTACGGCTCCTGCGGAATATTGCATTGCGGGTGTCCTGTTCTCGGGGGCATACTCGTAGCTAGCACTGACTTAGTTTTATGTACTCTGATGGAACCTTTCACCGAGAACTGAGGGCGCAGGCACCTAAACCCTTTAAACCCTAAACTCGAAGCAAGCTCGATTTCAAGATCTCGGTTGTGAAGTTTTATGGTTCAGGCTTACGTAAGGCCAACTCTCCACCCTGAATCCAACCCTAAACCCTAAACC